GGTACTTTAAAAGAGGACATAATATTGGGATTTCACAAAGCGAAAATTATTCACTAATTTAATTTTCTAAAAAGTTACACAACAATTTTTTGGAATAAAGACGTTGATACCTAATTATTTAAATATAATATCAGATCTAGAATTATTAAACTACAGTGAATGTATTTAAGGTTATAAACATATGGTTTATACATCCATTAAATGATTTAATATTTTATTTCTTCTTTCACACAGGAGAATGAAATAGTTTTTTTAACAATGCCATTACCTTGATTAGGTGGATTTTAAATATTTTTTACAAACTTTAAATTTTTTTTTTAAGTTTACATTTAGTTAGAAAATTTCATCTAATTTCCTTGAAAACATGTGATTTATGTTGAAAACATGTAATATTATTAGTTTTCAAAAATTATTAATTATAATTTTTTCACCACTCTCCGTTACCTACAATTTTCTATATTAGATATTGTTTTTTCTAAAATTCTCCACTTTCCAATGATATATTATACTTATACCTTCTGACTGGTATTTCCGGAGATTCATTTTCGACCTGGATAAGCATTTTTATTTTTTCTCCTTTATTTCAATTATCAAATTCTTTCAAAAGTTATATTTAGCATTTTTTGGTAACTTTTAATGATGAAAGATAGTTAATTATTTAAAATGAACTATATTAAAGGTAATTTAGAGGAAGATGTATATGGACATTGGGCATTTAAGCCTTGTAAAGTGACAACAATGGGGATAAGACCTGATTGATATTAAAGAACACTTCATTATACAATAATACGAGTTTAATCAAAATTGTTAAGAGCCATTTTTGAGAAAATTGTAAAAATATGTTTCAGCGTTGATATAAAGTGGCACTTCTAGTTACCCTATTTTAAGGAAAAAGTTGCTATGACCTAAGGCATATATTTATCATGTATACGTAATATCAGTTTCTTACAACTTTTCTTTTTTGAGTTAGAGTGTTCACATACCCACAGACACACAGACCATTTTTCGGGACTTGGGTATTTCAACTCAGGATTCCTCAAAACGTGTATTTCCGTCGAAAACTCAGACTCGAAAATTTTCACGATCGCAATACTTACCCTTACTATACATTACACATATAGGTAAGTGAAGGTAAAAAATCGCAAATTATTTATGATTTTTTTTTTAACAGAACTTAGCTTAATTTAGCCGCTCAAAAGTCCTATTTAAATAGTTTTAACAATGATAAACTCTATCTTTATTTGAAGTAAATAATACTAGTTTATAGTGAAGCAATTATTGATTACTTAAACTAAATATTTCTTTCGTTATTGCTTCCTAATCAACAAAAATATGGTGATGTGCGGGCACCACACAACTTTTCCTTACCAATCTTTGATTAGATAGGAATTTCATATATAGGGAAATCAAAGTGAAAACGACGGTATAACTTAATTTAAAACAATTAAATACCATGTTTTTCCAGCCCGTCAAATCTGTTAAATTAAGTTTTTTACATCGCTTTTTATTTCCAGACCATTATGCGTGACTTGGTTATTTGGACTCAGATGACCCCAAAACATGTAATTCCGTTGATGTTAACTCACTCAAACATGTAAACTCAGATTCGAATATGTTCACAATTGTAATACTCTCCCCTACTATATATTTTATATATAGGTAAGTGAAAGTAAAAATTATAGATAAGTGATTAAAAAAAATAAATTTACAATACAAAAGCCCTGTACAAAGGGCTATCGGATATCTGTAAATGGAGAGGATCAAAGGAGTAAAAGTCAGGCGCTCTCAGCTATTTCCGTATAACTTACAATCCTTGCTTCTTCTTCAATTGCCAATCAATTTTCTTTATACGTTATATTTAACCATTTTTTATATCAGTTGGTGATGTGAAATGGTTAATTATTTCAAATAATAAAAATTGAAGGTACTTTAGGGGAAGAAATTTTGTAAAATAGGCATTAAAACACTGTTAGAGAATATTTATAAGAATGAGACCTACATTATATTAAAATTCGCTTACTTTTACACTGATATAATCAATTTCATCAAAATCGTTAAAGCCGTTTTTGAGAAAATTGTAAAAATGTGTAAAACCGATCATATAAAGTGGCACTTCCGGTTAGTCGATTTTGAAGAAAAAGTTGCTGTAACATCTTCAGCCTTAAATACGCAATTTCATTTACTTACGAATTTTCAATCTTGAGCTATAATGTTCACATATATATACACACTATTTTGCGGGACTTGGTTATTTGGACTCAGGAAACCTCAAAACACATATTTCTGTTGAAAACTCAGATTTAAAAAGTTTCACCATTGCAATACTTTCCCTTACTATACATTAATATATAAGTAAGTAAAAGTAAAAAATGTGATGCTTTTCTGTTGAAAATTGGCCCATTGTTTATATGAACTTGTTTGTAGCTCTTAAGATCTGCTATCACTCCTATAAAAATTTCCTTCTATAGAGATACCCTATAGTATAAATAAAAAAAATATTATTATAGTATAAATAAATTAGCATTAACCAGAAAGAACTATAAAAGGCACTTAAAGGGTTCGATATCCTAGATAAGCTGATGAAACTGACTGTAATATTTTCATCCTAAAGAAGATAAATGCGAGTTTAAATAGACAACCATGTGAAAACCTCACGTATCCACTTTATCAACCCAACATATGTTTTATTAATTAATCATCAAAATCAAAACATTTTTTTTTTTTTTTCACGGAACGGCCATAGAGACCACGCGAATATCATGACATTTGGCTTCTTTCTTGTTTTTCCTTTCTTTCCACTTCTCTCTCATTATCTCTGTGTGCCGCCACTTTCTCTCCTCCGTCCACGCGACTCCCTTTCTCGAACTTTTCTTCTTAGCAAGAACCGTGATCTCCTTTAGTCTCTTACCATACCCCTCTCTGTCCAGACAGTCCCGGTCGACCAAATAAATACACTGACGGAAATAACCAAAAAAGCGGGTCTCCAAATCTACGAAAAAACAAAATTAATGACCAAAGACGCAGACTTCAAGAAAAAAACAGTGGAAACCAAATACGGGTCTATAAATGTAACTAATAAATTTAAGTACCTGGGTGAGACTATATGTAATAATAGTTCGGAAAAAGAAAGTATCAAGGAAAGAATAGCCAAATTGGAAAAACTAACTTTTGCAACCAGTAACATATACAACAAGAGAAACTTGTCCACGGAAGCAAAAATACGACACTGCAATACAGTTGTTAAACCTGTGATACTATACGGGAGGGAAACAACATGCCTCCCCAGTCTGGGAAAATTGTTGAGAATAGAGCGAAGAATTCTAAGAAGGATTTACGGCCCCAAAAAGACAAAAGATGGATACAGGCTAAGATCCAATCAGGAAATATACAAGGACAAAAGAGATCTAGAAACGGAAATAAGGATCAGGAGACTGAAATTCCACGGACATATGGTAAGAATGGCCCCAGTAAGACTTAATAAGGAAATATTCCAAAAAATCCGTAGATACAAAAGCTTGGGAGGATACATCAGGCAGATGAAGGAAGAAATGGAAAGACTTGGAATAAATCAAAACATTTATTATTTATGTATAAAATTTATACGAACAGACTATTCTAAGCCCAATGAAACATCCAACTACACAATAAACTATAGATAATTAAGAAGCAACCTAAACTTCATTATTTATTAGTAAACAACAATAACTTGCCGACTAATCTCAAACTGATATAAAACTTACCAACTAATATAAACAGGAATAACGTACAAAAATACCAAAGACCAGATGTGGGGGAATGTTATGAACTGGAAGGCAGCAGCACGGAACAGGGAGGACTGGCGGTCTAAGCTTGAGCAGGCTATGACTCAACTAGTGGGTCGTAACGCCGAATAAGAAGAAGATGTGGGGAGAGAGGAGAGGGGTGCTTAGAAGGTAATTTTTTTCTGGTTTTCGCTTGTATCTGGAAAACTATCCATCACATCGACAAACACGTTCTATAAAAAATTAAAGCTGATAAAATTTGCAATATGATCGATCATATACCTTTTTTAGCTATCTTGCTTAGTTTCCGAGATATCCGTCCTCAAATATGGCTAATTTTGGAGAAAAAAAGTTTGCCTCACATTTTTTACTGTATTTGACTAGCTAACTCTTGATTGCTTCGTTCTACATCAAGTCATGGGGTAAGAAAGTTTTTCATAATTAATTTTTCTTCCATTGTACTAGTGTTACTATATAGATCGTAGAATTTGTATAGAACGTCTTTGTTGATGTGATGGATAGTTTTCTGGATACAAGCGAAACCCCCCCAAAAAAGTGACCTTTTAGGCATCCCTCCCCACATCTGGCTCACTGCTTAGGAGTGGGGAATTTTAGTAGCTAACTCCCTCACTAGTACAAAAAATGTGCTGAAGTCAAAAATTGTGACCCCGCAATTCCCTTCTATAATCATTAATTGACTGGAATATATGTATTTGAGTGATTCTTGCTTCTTTACCTTGACTAGTTCATTAAGCATAATGTTGGTTCCAGTTACTTTATATGATTTAAATAACTATTTCAACTTCCTCTTTACTTGGTTCTTCTATCAGTACTTCTGCACTCTGTTGTAAGAAAGGAGGATTTTTCTTCTTTAAGATAATAAATTGGTCATTATATTAGCTTCTATTTTATTGAATATATTTTTAAGTAATAGATGTGCATAAATACATGATCCTTTTTTGTTAAGAAAAGAAAATTATGAAGTTCCGTTCTGAATAATTTAGAAGTATGCTCTCAGAATAAATAATTAAACATTTTAATAGACTAATACTATTTTTTATGAGCAATCAACAAACAACAGAATGATTATGAATAAAACTTAATTAATAAATCCTTTTAAGTTTCCAAAATTATAAATCTAATATAGAAAAAAAAAATGTGTTATCACAGTAGTCTTTCACTAGAAATTATAAATAAAACAAATAATAGGTAAAAATATTTACAATTTGTGAGAATACCTCAAAGTGGTAAAGAGAGCACAATCTTAAGTTCTCGCAAAGATGATTTAAAAGAATCTATAGTTGCTTGGGTTTTCGCTCGCTCAGCCTCAACAGATATATGCTCAGCAGTCAGTTGTTCCAGTTTTTCCTCAAGCCCTGCTAGCTCCTTACGAGACTCTTCGATTCTTTCTTCCCATTTCTTAACAGTCTCTTTGAGTAATCTTGTTTCAGAACTTCTCTCTGAAACAAATAGGTTAACACACACATATAGAATAGAAGAAAAAAAAATTATTCTGGAACAAAGTCCCTTAAGAATAACAAAGATATAAAAAAAAATAAAAATCATTTCTGGCAAAAAAAAGACTATGCCCCTGGTGCACAGAGCCAATATATTGGCTTCAGCTTTTTATTGTTTAATTGCACAAAACCAATACTCCAACTCATTACAAAGCTCTCTAGTGGGTAGCCGATAAGTCATAGGTTGTTGCTGAAACCACTAGATACCATTTATTTAGCCGTGGATATCCTTTAGGGTGGGTGAGAGATCTGACCTCAACCCTTCGTATACCTGCTTCCAACCCTTTTTTACCTTTTGTAGTCTTTTGAACACAGTTTGGCTCTAAAACTAACAGCAGTTGGTAATGTTTTTAATTGCTTAAGTTAAAAATGAGTTTTAAATTATTTTTAAAAAATTTAATTTTTTTTTAAAGTATAATTTTTTTTAAATAATTGAATTATATGTAATAAAATTTATCTAACATGAAATATGATCTAACATTATATTAAAGCAAAATGTTTAAGTCAGTTATAAAAAAAAACATATTTAAATGTGAAAAGTGCAAAAAGATAGAAGGTGTCATTCAGTGAATAAATCCCATGCACACGGGGTTGGCTAGACCTTCAGTAGACTTCAGTCCCCACACAGGACCTGACCTTGATTCAGGCTCGGCGCAACTAAAGGGTTAATTTATAAAATATAATCTAGCCCAATAATAGATAATATATAGTAGATAATATGATATTGAATTAAAAATTTCATAGTAAAATGATAAAAATACCTTCATTATATAATGAATATGCTTCTAATATAGCTTCTATACCAGGGAAATTAGCTTTGGGTCGACTAAGCCTGCTTAGCTTATCAGCAGATTCTTGATAATATTCAAGCAATAAGCTTCTTCTCTTTCTCCGCCTCCGTTCACTTAACACTTCATTCCATATTGCTTCACGCTCTGCAGAAATTTAAAACCTTTTTAATATTAACATACAGGAAGGCAATAGAATAACACCTGTTTAATAATAAGTTTGTTTGAATTATTTAAAGACTACGAGACTTCTTAAAAAAATTATTATAACAATAATAAGTAAGATAACATAGTAAGAACTAATTTTCAGGTTTATAAACAGGAGATGCAAACAGAGAAATATTCACCCAAATAAATCACAACTATTTCTTTTGAATTTCGTACCCTCACATAAAATTCAAAATGTAAATAAATTACAAAAATCTTAATAAATAAATCCTTTTTAATGAGAAGAAGTAAATAGCATAATAAATTGTTACAAAAAGTAAATATAAATAATCAAATCAAATCAGACCTTTGAGTAAAAAAAAAAAAGTTTAATATTCTTTTCTCAAAATTCAGACTTATAAATAGACATTTTTTTCTGAAATCGTACATTTATAGTATTTAAAAGGGGACTAGGTGTCCCAGAATAAAATTAACTTTCATTAAAAAATTAAAGAATAGTTAATAGTGTAACTAATGGGTTGTCCGGCTACATTTCTTTGCCAAAACAAAAACGACCCTTTTCTATCAAGCATTGTTACTTGTGATGAAAAGTGGATACTTTAGGATAACAGTAGACATTCTGGACGGTGGCTCATCACAGGAGAAGCAGCAAAACATTTTCCGAAGCCCCCGAACTCATTTGGTTTGATAAACAAAGCTTCTTAGGTCCTGAAGAAATCATCAATGCTGAATCCTATTGTAACTCAATAAATGCAATGCATCAGAAATTTGCAATAATCAAGCCATCTTTGGCCAATCAGAAGGGGCCCATTTTGTTGCATGACAATGCTCGGCCACACATCTCATGTGTGACATCACAAAAACTGTTGGAGGTTGGATATGAAACTCTCCCACATCCGCTCTACTCTCCGGACCTCTCGCCTACAAATTATCATTTTTTTAGACACATGAACTACAAAAAATTTAATGGACAAAGGGAATTATAGTATGTGTTTTTGGAGTTTATCAATTCTAAAGATGGGAAATTCTATTCAGAGGGAATGGAAAAGTTGCCAATAAACGGCAGAAATGTAATAAAACAGTTGTAAATTTTTCTTTTTTCTTTTTAAAGCAAAATCCTGCATTATTTCCTGGACAATTCAATAGAAACATGCAATTGAGAGTATAAAGCTGATTGAGGTGTCACAGAAAATCATTGATTCAAAGTCAAAATATGGTTTACTAAAAAGAATTTAAAATCAACTGAACTGCTGAATTTATATATTATCTTTAGTTTTTGTATATTTTATAATTTGTCCCTGGATTTATCAAAATGATGAGGATGGAAGAAAAAAGTTGGGACATCCAGAACGCATTTCTATAACTCCAACTCAATTCATATAAAAAATTTCAACCCTTCAAATCAATTTGGAGGAACGGAATAGGTGGGTAAAACATTAAAAACCAAAAGGTAATGCCGAAATTTCGTCCCAAGTTAGCTACAGCTTTATGGTATTTATTTGCTAAGTAAACAACCCTACATGGCGCAAGTTGAAATATAGGGATTTAAATATTGGTACGTGAAACGTAAGGAGTTTAAACATAGCAGGGGGGCTAAAATCGGTCGCGAATGAGGTAAATGGGTACAATTTGGATGTCGTGGCTCTGCAAGAGGTTCGCTGGCCAGGGGAGGAAAGTACACTATTTGGTACGGAGGAAGCGGGAATCATAGTTTAGGTACCGGCTTTCTAATTAGGACTAGATTACTATCCGCTTTGAGGGATGCACAATTCTTTAGTGATAGAATTTCGGTAGCTATATTTCAGGGACGTTGGTCTAAAATCGCATTAATAAACATACATTGTCCGACCGAAGACAGTGACGATGAAGTCAAAAGTGAATTTTACGATAAACTCGAATGGATTTATGATAAACTACCGCGAAACTACATGAAAATAATTGTAGGTGACGCGAACGCAAAGGTAGGAAGGGAAGAAGTTTATATTCCGACGTTTGGTAAAGAAAGTTTGCACGAATATAGTAATGATAATGGGATCCGTCTAATAAACTTTGCCATCTCGAAAAACCTGATAATTAAAGTACGACGTTTAAACATAAGGATATTCATAAATATCCTTGGTCATACTTGGACATCACTGGATTCGCAAACACGAAATCAAATCGATCATATCTTGATACAACATAGCTGGCAAAGCAGTATAATTAATGTACGGTGTTATCGCGGAGCAGAATGTGGGTCGGATCATGAATTAGTAATTGCGAAACTTCGAAAAAAACTTAATATAAAAAAAGAGAAAAGAAAACCGTTACGATTTTGAGAATTTTAATTTGGAAAAATTAAAAAATCCATCAATTAGAAACCAATTCGAGCTAGATGTTAAGAATAGGTTTGAAGCTTTAGAGCTTCCTGACGAGGACCACGAGGATATTGACAAGTTATGGGTAGAGATCAGGGATAATATTAAAGCGGTCGGTAACTCGTGTCTAGAAAAAAAGGAAAATAAGAATAACAAACCGTGGTTTGATGAAGATTGCTTAAACATGTGCGAAAAAAGAAAAGCCGCTAAATTAAAAGCTCTAAATAATCCTAGTGAAGACAATCTGGAATACTTCCGAACCTTAAAGAACGAAACGACTAAATTGCTCAAAAATAAATAAGGGAGTATCTTAAAAATAATATAATTGAAATAGAAACTAATAGAATCGAAAATAACGTAAGAGACATGTACAAAGGTATAAACAGATCACATAAATGTGTAGGGCCCGTAAAGTCTGGAATTAGGGATGATAATAACAATATTCTGACCGATCCGGTTGACATTTTGAACAAGTTTAAGGACCACTTTGACAATATTTTAAATACGGGAAATTATGATCTGTGTCTTCCTTCTGAGTACCAGAGTGCTGAACCGTTAATAGAAGGTCCAAGTAAAGAATAAGTTGAAGTAGCTATCGGAAAATTAAAATCATATAAAGCAGCGGGAACCGATAATATTCCTACTGAACTAATTAAGGCATGCGGGGAAGCTGGAGTTTCTAAAATACATAGGTTGGTTAAAAAGATGTGGGTGAACGAGAAATTACCTGAAGAATGGAAAGAATCTATTCTTATTCCGATTCACAAAAAGGGTCCGAAGACGGATTGTAATAACTATCGAGGAATTTCACTCCTTCCGGTATGTTATAAAATATTTACTTTAATCTTAACCAGTCGAATCACGGAATACGCCGAGGAAATTATCAGAGACTACCAATGCGGATTTAGACGGAATCGTTCGACTATTGATCAAATATTTTCTTTACGGCAAATATTAGAGAAAAAATTGGAGTATAACGGTATTGTTTACCAGCTGTATATAGATTTTAAAAAGGCTTACGATCCTATTGACCGCCAGAAACTGTATAATATTCTAATCGAGCAAGGGATTCCAAAAAAACTAGTAAATCTAGTCAGGATGTGCTTGACGGAGACACTCAATAAAGTTAGAATCGGTAATAATTTGTCAGAAGAATTTGAGGTTCGTTTGGGCTTAAAACAGGGGGATTCTCTTTCGCCTGTCCTGTTCAATTTGGCATTAGAACATGCCATTAGGGAGGTAATGCGAACCGAAAAAGGGTTGGATCTGGGCGGGACCACATCTGTGCAGGGCTATGCTAATGATCTGGTACTGTTAAGCGAAGACGTTGAAACTGTAAAACTAAATACAACAACGTTAATGAAAGCCGGTAAAGAACTAGGACTCAAAATAAACGTGGATAAAACAAAATATATGGTTAGCTGCAAAAATGGCGATACTACTGGTGATATCGATATAGATGGTAATGTGTTTGAACAGGTAGATAAATTTAGGTATCTAGGTTCTACGATAACTAGAAAAAACGAAATTGAAGAAGAGATTAAGGTTAGACTGAAGGCGGGAAATGCTTGTTATTTTTCTGTGACAAAACTACTTAGTTCGCGCCTCTTGTCCCGGAACTTAAAAATTAGAATCTATAAAACAATTATCTTGCCTACAGTTCTTTATGGATGGGAAAATTGGCCGCTTACATTAAGGGATGAGCAGCGTCTTAAGGTTTTTGAAAATAAAGTATTGCGCAGAATATTTGGACCGAAGAAAGATGAGTTAACCGGAGAGTTCAGACGGTTACACAACGCCGAACTGCGTGAGCTGTATCCGGGTAATATAATTGAGGTAATTTCATCGCGGCGAATCTAATGGGCTTGTAAAGTTGCTGGGCTTAGTAACGAGAGAATTCCTAAAAGGTTAATATTTGCTGTGCCGAACGGTAAGCGTCCGAGGGGTAGACCGAAGCGAAGGTGGGAAGATTGCATTAAAGCCGATCTGAAGGGACTGGGTTTGGACGGCGAACGATGGAGGGAGGTGTGTAACAAGCGATTGGTGGTGTCAGCATCGAACCTTCGGGTTCGTTAAGCCTTTTATTATTATTATTAACTTAGAAATCATGTACACAAAGGCCTCCTCATTAAACAAGACTTAAAGGTCTAGGAAAATATTATTATTTGAAAGTAAAACAAAATCCATTCATTAATAATGGATATCAAAACCAATGATATCCGAATTAATAATAATAAAATAAAATAATACTTACCACAAACAAAATGAACAAATTAAATATATTTTCATTGAAGTAATAAAATAATAAAATGAACTTGCATATAAATGAAAATTATTAAATAAACAAAGAAACATTAAACACAAAAACACCTTTTAAATTAAACTTAAATGGTACAAATACTGTGGATTAATTTAATTTAAAAGGTGTTTTTATGTTTAATGTTTCTTTGTTTATATAATAATTTGCATTTGTAGACAAGATTATTTTATAACTTCAATGGAAATATATTTAATTTGTTCCTTTTGTTTGTAGCACGTATGATTTAATTAAATTATTTTTAATTCCAATATACACACATTACTGCTATTCGGTATTTTATTTATACAATCTATCCTTACAGATTCATAGTATGTTAATATTTTAAAATAAATTAATTTGCAAGGCATCAATGGCCTATGGAAAAGGTAGAGCGGATTTGGATGTACTTTTGAACTTTTGAACCCAACGCCACCAGATTTGGTCTTCCGGACTGGACATTTGGGGGGACCAAAATGTGGTGACAGGTGGGTCTTCAAAAAATAAAGAGCCAAATTCGCTCTAAGTTTTCGACAGGCCACTGGTGCCTTGCAAATTAATTTATTTTAAAATGTTAAAATAATAAAATTCCATGTTGATAAATAAATGCCGAATAGCAGTAATTATATGATGTATTAAAAATAAAACAGTAAATTAAATGACACATGCTTTAAAAATAAATAAAAGATATTTTCCTGAATAATAGTAATAATAAAAATAAATCTTGAAATATTAAATACCCCTTTAAATTAAATTTAAAAATAATAGAAATAAATATAAAATTTGATCTAATGTAACAAACTATGCACTGTATTATGTATTATACCAAATGAATTATAATTTTAAAAATAACTTTTAATGTTGAATTAATTGGGAATGATTCAAATAATAGTACGCAAGAAATTTTTAACTATATGTAAAAAATTTAAAATTATATTTTTACATGAAAGGGAAAAAAAAATTCATTGGAACCCAGTCTTGAACTGTGAACCTTGACTGTATGGCACACTAGCTACTTGTCTAACACTGCCCTTATTATAGGAATTCTTTGTTTTTTAAAATTAATTTTATATTCTATATATTACAATTTCTTTTTGTTTTCCATTTAATGTTACTTTTATTTCAGAAAATAGCAAAGTAACATATATTTCTTACTGATCGATTATTATATATATATGTATATATATTTTTTTTGTTTTTTCTGTTGGCACTACAGACCATGAATATCTTTGGCAGCGAGATGTGGTCTCCTTATAGAAGTGTGATACTTGAGGGAACTCAGAAAGCCGGGAGGGGGTCAACCAACCTCACGCTGCTACGAACCATGGTTTCCATGGTGTAGCGGTAGGCCACCCGTAGCTCCATAGCCGATCCCTTTGGGGCGAATCTGGCAGTGTCCTTCCCACCGACTCTCTCAAGGACATTGACAAATCGGTCTAAATCCATGGATTATGGCTGCTCTGAGTCAGCAGGCGCACGAGGACCTATATTTTTTTCCCTGAAACAGACCGTCCATGGACAGAACCTCAGGGGGGCTATTAACGTCCTGGTAAACCACATCCTGATTCCCGATTTAAGTACACGGGGCAGGGTCATCAGTCCTACGTCCGGTCGGGTGAGTTACCTCCAGTAGGCTGATGGACCTCACATACCTTGGGGGAGGAAGAGACTGGGACAGCATGGCTTTCCCTGGTTGACGGTCACCCATCCAAGTACTAACCACGCTCGACGTTGCCTAACTTTGATTACCTATTGCAAGCTCCTGATTATTATATATATATATATATATATATATATATATATATATATATATATATATATATATATATATATATATATATAGCTGTTTGTATATGGTTTACTTTTAATTTAGTTTCAAGCTTGATGATTGAATATATATATATATAATTTAAGTAAGTTTTTTTGAGCAGAAATCGCCATTAGATGATTTAATTCAATCATCAAGCTTAAAACTAAATTAAAAGTAAACCATATACAAACAGCCAGATCATTTATTTTAAATATTATCTAATTTTAAAACAGCCTTAAATAAAATTTTTAGAGAATAAATTATAAGCCTTTCACATTAGAAATATTTCACCTAAAAAATAACGATCAAACACCACAAGATTACCATTGAGAGCAGATAAGTCTGCAGTAGCCAAGTCCAGCTTCAGCAAGAAATCACATTTATTTTTGGCTCGTGGGATATCTACTGGGGCTAATGAAGGCAGAGGCAATTCTATCTTCGGTTCTTCCTCTATCTCTTCAGGTGCTGGCTCTACCTTTATGTCTGGTAACACTTTTCGCCTTAGTAACTTTTCTAATTCAAGTTCTGTTAAACATAATTTAAAAAATTAATAATCAAAAAGTGTGATAGGTATTATATTTTTTAATATTTGTAAATGTTACCATTTTTCTTGGAGATGGTAGTTAAGAAAAATTGAGATAAGAACTCCAATTTCTTAGAATTACAGTCTAGTTTAGCAGGTGGTCCAGACATTATCATTATTTCATCAGAATGATCATCATCTTCAAGTTTACCAAGTGCTTCCAAATCTAAACGACTCACCACCTACAAAATGACCCTAGATTAAGTTTCTTTGCTATGAATAACAATGTATGTAGACAGAATACAACCATGTTTACAACAGAACATGTGAAACCAAAACTAAGTCTATATTCCCTAACTACTACTTATAATATTTAAATGGGTAGGAGCAAGGATTGATTAAAACGAACCCAGATTGAATCTACTTTGGAAAAGCAGGAAAAAATTACATTTAATTAGGGCAATGTTCTTAGTTCTTCTTCATGAACTTTAAATTAGAATCATGTCCAAAAACATAAAATATGAAAACAGATTGAGTGTTTCTACATTCATTATAAAATCTTTGAAAAAATAATCCAGTTTCTATCATCTCATTGAATGAGGCTAAAGGAAATGATTATAAATACACTCAAATAGGTTAAAGTAAACAAGCAATTAATTGATGAAAAATATTATTTTTTTTAGAAAAATATATAATTAAAATAACAGAAGTTCACAGATTAAACAAACTGCATCTACAATATTTTAAATATTATTTGTTCAATACTTTTTTTTTCCAACCATATTATAGCTAACCTTCTCATCCAGAGGAGGTTGCTGGACCTGAGTAAACCCCAAAATCTGGTCAACTATAGAGAGTTCAATATTAAAATCTCGAGATTTATCCTCCACCTTTGGTGACCTCCTGGGCTTAGGGTAGTCTTCAAATGGGCGAACAAACTTTGGGGGCTCCTTGTTTCCTGAACTCTTTCTACCTGCAATACATATATAATATAGAACATAGAGTAAAAAAGTAATGAAAAACAAAATTAAAGCCAGATGGGTTTAATCAAATAAGTACAAATGTCTAATTCTGATAACAGTATCTTCCCGAAATTCAGAAATAAACTGTTATGAACCAATTGTGACTGATCAAAGGAAAAAAAGAAATACTAGCTGTCACAGTAAAATTTCAAGAGGGTGAAATAAGATGGCAACTAGTAGATCTCTGAACTACCACTGTGTTAATCTATTAGCCCTATTTTTCTTCACTTAAGGTGGGTTTTTCTTGTAAAATTTTAAAATTGTTAAGTGAAATGTATATGCTGACTCCTCAGAACATGGTATATTAGGTCGATAGTGTATTTTTAAGAAACAAATACAACCATATCGCAGTTTCATCATTCATTAGTTTGAGTAGATTGTAAAAATACATAAAAAAAAGCCATGCTTCACTAAGAATAGTAAACTTGCTCTGTTATTAATATTAAATCATATTGGAAATCAAGATGAAGATATTGATAGTTACCTTATTACAAAAAATATCCTATTACTGAAGTGTTTCTTAAAGAGAAAGTGGAGGTATTTTCATATTATGAATTCAGAAATATTTATTTAACAAAAATGTTAAATTAAAAAAATTTCAAAGCAATTAGTGATGCAGTCAATGTTGATGATTGTCCTGGGTCAACCCATGATTTACTGAATTTTGGTTTCTTGAAATATGTCCTTTTTTCCTTCCCTATCATGATACGATACAAAAAAGTCTTTCTCCTATGCCAAGAAAGTAAAACTTCACACACCATGTTTCGCTTTTCCGTCTGTTGTTTAACTAATATGGTTCCATTTTTCCTGCTTTCTGGATCATCTCCATGGCTTGTAGACAATCACAAATAGTTTATTTTAAATCATTGCTCACAACCCAAGTATTAATGTTATCATTATCTTCATGTAGCCTTCGGATGGCCTCAAGCATCTTGGTAGGATGGAAGAAAAAGTAGATTTGCAGACCGTCGGCATATAAATGTCTGAGATAAGAGTCTCACTACAGACGGCGTACAGTGCACATCACTCCCGTGAAACTCAAGTCATTTTTTACATAAACTAATCTACTTCATAAATTTTTTTATAGTAATTTCTCATAATAGTATTTTTGTTTTTAATCCACCATAGTTGTGTCTTATATTTATTCACGAATCATTATACATAGAAGAAAGTTCGTGAATTATCTGCTGCAGAGAGAAGAGAAGTAGCTAATATCCTTAAGCCGGAGAGTATTAAAGGCCATCAACACGCCTTGATAAACAATCAACACGTGTAATAAACAACACTTTCCTTGCGTAAGTAAATTTTTTTCCTTCAACAAAATGGTGCAATGCTCAACTTGTGACAGCCCTATCGTGAGAGACGATAAATATAATTTAAGCTGTAATAAATGACGCGTAATATTTCACGGCAAATGTTGCAATTACAGTGAAAAAGAGATTAACACTATAAAATTGTAAAAAAAAAAAGTGGCTATGTAAAAAGTGTGAACAGGGTAAAAAGGCTGCCAAAGCTAGTGATAAGTCAGCCAGTTCATCCAAGAGTGACACCAAAGAACCCTCCTCATCGGATATTCTCCTGGCCGTCAACAACAGGTGAACAGGTCAATGAGGATATAAAAAATTTAAAAACGTCGCTTGAGAAGTATGGTGAGCTCAGTTTCAAGTTGAATGAGAGGTTCACAAAAATAGAAGGACACCTTGAAGACGAAGCGAAACGCCTAGAAGAACTCACCACAGAAAATAAGATGCTGAAATCCAGAGTAGACGAACTTGAGGTGCGTGGTAACAAAGCCGAGCAAGGACTACTTCGTAGATCAATAGAAATTCGCGGCATCCCGGTACAGGCGGGAGAGACTCCATCGGCCTTGGTAGCCAGTGTGGGAGCCGGCCTCGGGATTAAGATCAACGCAGAGGACCTCGACTTTGTGGAGCGATGGAGACCAAGAAAAGACGATCCTCGACCACCACCCGTGATTGCTCGTTTTGTGAGGCAGTCTGTACGGGACGACTTGGTACAACGAAGAAAGATAAAAAACGGACTTTTCTACCAGGGATATTGGTTGGCAAGAAAACGACCCACCGGATATAACTCGACAAAGAAATATCTCCTATGAATAGACATCTGTACTGGCTCGCCCGTCGGAAAAGAGCAGCGGGCAAACTCAAATATTTGTGGTTTGCTGGCTGTAGAGTTCGTTGTAGAAAAGAAGATGGACACCCAGTGATCTACATCGATCAGCCACAAGACCTTGACATTTTCTGCTGACAGTTCGACTTTCGTCAACTTGATGGTCATAATTGGGAAATGTTAAGCGTTGTCTACTATAAATCACTTTGCCGTATTATGTTACTGTTTTATCATTATTTTTTTTCTAGCACAACTGGCGTAATCTTTCATTTTCTCATGTTTAGTTTTTTTTTTTATCATTGCTGCTTATTATTATTATTATTATTTGTATTTAACCATTATTTGCTTCTTTTTAAATGTTATTCCTTATATTTCAGCTACATTTCATCATATTTCTCTATTTCCTCTCTAACATGTCTAGTGCCCTGACCTCTTATCATGTTAATTCGCAATACTTACCAGCCCATTTCGACGAATTTCAGCAATATTTTACCTGTAATTTTTACCATACTATTGCAGTTTCCAAAACATGGCTAAACCCCACATCCCTTCCTCTTCGGTTTCCTTAGCAATCACACCCTTATCCGCCACGACCGGATAACAAGAACGGGTGGTGGTGTGGGTCTTTAAGTCCATAATAGCCTAAAATCCCGAATCCTAGACATCTCACCTTCCAATTGTCCCCACATGGAATACCTTTTTATTGAAATTTCCCTCAAAGCTCATCTTCTCCTATATGTTGTAGTATATCGTCCTCCTCTGGTACCTTTCGATCCATCCTTTGAATCTACCCTATATAAATTTATCCCATTTTACAGTAACATAATAGTTTCCGGTGACTTTAATGGCAATCTCCTTTCCTATTCCCACGACAAACACTACCTGGAAAACCTTTTCTACTCCCTTAACCTCTTTATAGTACCATTTGCTCCTACTCATCACACTTGCTGGTCTGATACATGGCTGGATCTGTTTATTATCGATTCTGCGCAGAACCTTTTGTCCTAGTCCCAACTACCTGTTCCTTTCCTCTCTTCACATGATCTCATCTAACTATCATACAATATCCAGACCCCTGCGATCCTTCCTAAAACAATGACCTTCCGCAATATAAATTCCCTAACCCGTGAAAGCATCTTACCCGATATTGAAACCCTGAATTGGAATGATATTTACACCAGCTCCTCAATTGACACCATGGTAGATATCCTGACTAATCTCCTCTTCTAATCTCCTCCATATCCTTAATGCCCATGTCCCACTTAAAACCTCTACATTCCGCCTCCAACCTGCTCCTTGGATGCGTCAAGAAATTCGAAATATGCAATAGAGACGTGAGGCAGCCTGTATACGCTTTAGAAGAACCAGGCTTGCAGATGACTATGAAGCGTTCAGGGTACTCCGTAACTTGACGCAAACAACGACCAGGCAAGCAAAAACCAATTACTTTCATGAAGCCTTCTCCTCGGCTCCCGATTCTAAATCCAAATGACATTTACTCAGAAAGCTGTCTCTTTGCAAATCATCTTCCTCCACAGCTGTCCCAGTCTCTCCTGATGCTTTAAATTCCTACTTTTTATCCTCCTCCTCTAGTAATATTTCTTCCCATATTTCTTTATCATCTGCATTTAATAGTGACAATTTTTATTTTTCCTACATCACTCCTACGAACCTTATTTTCTCCATAATGAAATCCCAACCCGACTCTATAGGAATTGACGGAATACCCAACAAACTGTTAAAATTACGCCTCCCTGAAATCCTTCCAGTTCTTCTATTCATTTATAACTTTTCCCTTCAAAATTCTGTTTTTCCAACATCTTGGAAATAAGCCTTAGTCCGTCCTATTAACAAAATCCCTAACCCCACCTACCCTAAAGACTATCGTCCAATTTCCATCCTCTCAAATCTGTCAAAACCACCCGAAAGAATAGTCCAATCCCAAATTTCCAATTTTCTCGAAGATTTCAAACTTTTAGATCCTCTCCAACCTGGCTTTCGCCCGAGCTTCTCCACTCAATCCGCTTTAGTCAAAATCACAAATAACATACATACTGCAATTGACGAAAAAAAACTGACTGTATTAGTACTCCTGGACTTCACCAAAGCATTCGATTCCTTAGACCATTCTATCCTCTTCTCTTTCCTTCTCCAATAGTTCTATCCTATGGTTCCAATCATTCCTTTCTGAGATAACTCAAGCTGTTAATATTCCGAATCAACCCTTATCTTCTTTCCTCACTTTGTCTCATGGAGTAGCCCAGGGTTCAAGCGTTTCTCCTATCCCTTTTAATTCTTACATCAATGACCTTCCTTGTTCAATCCGCCATTGTTCATACCATCTATATGCTGATGACTCCCAAATTTATCTTTCCTTTCCACCCACTGAGTTATTAGAAGCGTTTACGAATATTCAGAAAGACCTAGATAGGATCAGTGCCTGGGCAAGCTTGAATAAATTAAAGTTAAATGCAACGAAAACTCAGGCCATTCTTATAGGTTCCAACTCCCTCCTTAGATCCATTTCCATCCTTCCTTCCTTGATTATTAATGACCAACCAATCTCCTTCTCCTCCTCTGTAAAAAACTTAGGAATCACCATTGATCAAAACCTATCATGGAAACCCCATATTGCTCATATCTCCAGAAGGTCAATTGGTATACTTAAACTATTTCATCATTCTCGTCAGCATCTCCCACAACCTATCCACAAGCTCCTCGTTTCCTCATTGATTTTCCCCTAGTTTGACTATGGCTGTGTGGTATACAGTGGCCTCTCGTTGGAGCTTGAGGACAGACTGAAGAGAATAATGATCTTTTT